TCATATGAGCTAGAAAAGTGTTTTTTGGCCGTATGACGAACAGTATTTTTTGTCATGACGGAAGGAGAAAAAAAATTTTACACGTGCCATACGTGTAAAAAAAACCATTTTACCAAGTTTTACGACCGATGCGGTTAATTTTTTTATCAACTATAACGAGCGCCCATTCGTTTTGAAATTCAATTGATGTGCAATTAAGTTCTAGACTATAGAAGCATATATTTCTAGTAATTTATGCAATATCTCAACTCCACTCCCACTCAATTCTGGCCCCTTTGTCGAGTATCTTGTGCGAAGCATGCAAACATTCAAGCCAGAAAGTGGGGGTATCACTCGGCACGGATTCGGGCCTAGTATTTTGTACGAAAGTATCTCGTGCGGAGGCTGGACTGTATTTAAATAGAAAATATGAAATTTTCTATAGAAAGTCTATTCTATTTTTCTATAGAAAGAAAAATGATAGATTCAAAAAAAATCTATTAGATTCAAAATAGAAGTTCTATAGGAATCCAATAGAATTTTCTGTCGGGTTCGTCAGATGTATCTATGAATTTTTGCCGTGCGTTATTATGTGCAGCATAAGTAATTTGTCATCAGTGCGATGAACGACGATATCAAATCAAAACAAAACGATCGACTATACGATAACCCTGTTTTTTCAATCATAATGGCCCCTGAAATGAGACAATACAATTATTATTATTGCTCGAGATGATTGTGAGAACGCAAACGTGAGACAGAAAACAGAACAAGTCAAGAAGATTGCAGATTTTTTTTATCCTCCAATAGCTAGAGGGGAAGTAAAAGGAGGCGTGTGACAATATATTGTGTCAATCACAATTTATCCGGCCTTGACACAATCACCACCAATTACTTTCTCCTCTGCATTCGTAGGAAATTAGTTCACGGGGCGGTTTTGGTGAGAAATTTATTATTAATGCAATTCTATGAGGGGTAATGGATAATTTTTCTTTTGGGAGAAAGAAAAAAATGTGCGATGGCCGGGAATCGAACCCGGATCAACTGCTTGGAAGGCAACTATGCTGACCATTACACCACCATCGCACTTCTTGGAAATTGATCGTTTTAATTTTGTCACACGAAATCGCCAGTATTTGGAAAATTAAAATCAATGGTAATTTTTTTCGTTTTATTGTTGCGTTAGGTTTTTCTCGGACATCAGGATTACTAATTTATTGAATTATCTCGTTATTGTTTTGTCTCTGATGGTGTCTTCGTGTCAGGATTTTTTTATGACTGTGATAGTCTCAATTTCATGGACATCAACATTTTGCTGTAATTTAATGATAAATATCAGTCTCGCTTGTGTCATATTCTCCTGGCAAATTTACCCTATCAGCGTTTTTCTTTTTCGTAAAATGTTCTTGTTTTGCGTGACGGAAGAATCAGCATGAGGACGAGTCGATCATAGCAATTTGAAGATGAGTCACGGTAAAATGGACAACGGGGTAAAAATTTAATAGAAAAACTCAGCGAATTTCACAGGAAATTCTATTGGTTTTTGGGCGATTCTATTGAAGAATTCCACAGCTTCACGGCGCGTTGCTCTATAGAATATGTCCAACAGGAACTATCATCTTTTTTATACATTTTTTTTTTGTATTGAGGCATCTTCTATAAAAATTCCTAAAATCTAAATTTTCTGAGTCTTTTCACTCAACTTTTTTCATTAAAAGAAAAAATAGAAAAAATACGAAAATTTCAGCTGAGGAATTTCTACAGAAAATATCTCAATAGAATAAATTGTATAGAAAAATTCAATTCTGTTAATTTTTTTCTCTGCAAAATATTTTTCATTGTGTCATATTCTCCTGGAAAATTTACCTTCTCAGCGTTCATCTTTGTCGGAAAAAATATTGTTGGTTTACGCGACGGGAAAATCATCATTAGAGCGATTTGATCATAACAATTTGAAGATGAGTCGCAATAAAGTGGACAAGGGGGTAAAAATTTAATAGAAAAACTCAACGAATTTTACATGAAATTCTATTGATTTTTGGCCGATTCTATTGAAGAATTCCACAGCTTCACGGCGCGTTTTTCTATAGAAAATGTCAAATAGAAACTATCATCTTTTTTTATACATTTTTTTGTACTGAGGCATCTACTGTAAGAATTCCAAAAATATCAATTTTCTGAGGTTTTTCCACTCAACTTTTTTCATAAAACAACAAAATCGAAAAAAATACAAAAAAAATAGAAAAACGCGAATGTCTCGACAACTTTATATGAACGGGTATCCATAGTTTGATTGATCTCGATAGTGGACATCGAGACGAGTATTTAAAAAAAAACATATTTTCGCAGAAACATATTTTCACAAAACTTTGAATATCTCGTAAACTACTCATCCGATATAATATCTCCAAAATCCCAGCCTGTGGTACCATAAGAGTTATAATCGTACTAAGTTTCAGCATTCTATCTAAATTTTTCCTAGAGTTATCGTGCCTACAGCGATGTTTTCAAAAAAATAGAAAAAGGTCGATTACTACCAAGTTATCCCTGGTTAAGTAGTAATGTTATGAGTTGATTGGATAGATATTATTGTAAGGAATATTTTGACGTAAAAAAAATTCAATTCAGTCGCGTACTTTTTAAGATAATTGAGAAAAAAGATTTTCAAGAAATTGCTGTATCTCAAAAATGACTTGACCGATTGAGTTGAAATTTTGCCCCGATATGCTCCCAAACAATGCACAATATAATTTCGTGAACTATTTCACAAAATTTCAGATTTTTAGCTTCGACTTCACTCCTTTTTTCGTGAAGATTTATAAAAAAATTCTGAAAAATCCGCACACACATTTTATAAAAACATCATATCTTGACGTTTCATGACATTCTAAATCATTTCCGAGCAAAATTAGAAGATCGTAAAACAGCTTCCATTCGTAAGGAAAAATTATCAATTGAAAATTGAATGAGCTATTGACATTTTAAAAAAACTCAAAAGTATCCATTTTACCCCATTAGTCCCTACATTCTTCAAAAATTTACTAGCCGGAAAAAGACTACAAATTATCGATAAAAAAACTTGCCACGCTTCTAGTATATCGCGGTCTATCATTTCCTGGATTTATTTCCTGCAGGAAAAAAAAATTACGCGAATGGGCGAGAAATTCCGCTGAAGAAAACCACAAAAATACTATTCCAAGTTCATCCAACTTTCCACAGCCAATTCCATTCGTTATGGAAATTTATTTCAATTTGCATTCATACCTGCGTCGGCAGTTGACTTCATCAACTATTCAACTATAAAATTTCGCCGTTATCGTCATAAGAGAACCAATATTGAAAGTGGAATCAATGACTTATGACCTACAACCTATGACCTAGGAATTTCTGATAATAATCCATCCAAAAATGACGAAATGAATGGGATAGAATGGACTTACTCAAACGGTCTTTCCCTTCCTCGCAGGCGACTGGTCGAGGTTTTCTTCTCACTGTCGAGTCCAAGGTTGACGATGGCCTGGGCCAGGTGAAGCTTCTCCTCATCCATTTTCCAAGGTCACGATAAACAACACTGATCCTAGTAAAAAAAAAATGAAAAAAGAAATTCTAGGGGAGTTCCTTCGCCGCTGACGATTAGTCGTAAAATCGTGAATTGCAAAGAAGAATTTCAATCTAGCGTCTTGTTGTTGAACGTTCGACACTTGAATGCTCACTGACTCGGTAAAGTCAGCGGTTAACCTCTCACCGTGCGGTCTCTTGTCCCGCGTTATTACAATCTTCGAATGTTTATGCGCGCGACATTGAAGAAACGATACATATGTGTATCTGTAGGTGACAAGACGCGAATAGACGCACCTTTGCCACTGCTTAGTCGGCAAAATGTGGGGAACACGTGAGGTGAAGAATATTGAGGTGAAAAAAAAATGGAATGGGGGAAGTACTGAGGGAAAACGCGGGAGTCGAAGGACAATTTGAAACTAGACTTCAATACCGGCGATTTATTTTTTTTGTTTTTAGTCGTCAAGGATAATTGGTGCTATCACTTAATTTACGCATGGATTTCGATTGATCTGGAGTGGGGAGACGTGTGGACTTTGTTTTGATGGAGAAGTGGGGAAGGTCGAAGACACGGGTGAGCGTGGATCAGCTGAGAGGAGACCAACGGAAATGCGTTATAGGGAGGTCGGTTATGTAGAAAGGTTGGGGAGAGCTTAAAGGGGATTCCCTGTATTTTCTACTGTTGATGAAAGTGGCCGCGGAGAAATGTGATGAAAAAAACGATCGAATTTGATAGAATTATATAGTTTCTTAATTTTTTCGGCAAAATGTGGAGAACACGTGAGGTGAACAATATTGAGGTGAAAAAAAATCGAATGGGGGAAGTACTGAGGGAAAACGCGGGAGTTGGAGGACAATTTGAAACTAGACATCAACACCGGTGATTTAGTTTTTTTGTTTTTAGTCGCTAAGGATAATTGGTGCTATCACTTGATTTACGCATGGATTTCGATTGATCTGGGGTGGGGAGACGTGTGGACTTTGTTTTCATGGAGAAGTGGAGAAGGTCGAAGACACGGGTGAGTGCGGATCAGCTGAGAGGAGACCAACGGGAGTGCGTTATAGAGAGATCGGTTATGTAGGAAGGTTGGTGAGAACTCAAAGGGGATTCCCTGTATTTTTTACTGTTGATGAAAGAGGCCGCGGTAAATTGCGAAGACAAAAAAGAGCGAATTTTATAGAATGATATAATGATATAATAATAATTTCATTTTTTTTTAGAAAATGCCAAATAGAAAATAATTTATGAAAGAAATAAGTGGAATTCCATCATTCTATGCAATTTTTTTTAATATGAAAATATCTCAATAGTATAAATTGTTTACCAAAAACGGTTCTATTGATTTGTTTTCTATAGAATATTTCCCATTAAACGTTTCAAGCTATAGAATTGTCCGATAGAATCGCCCAAAAACGAAAAAATGAAATTTATAAAAAAAATCCTTATTGTTGAACATGTTATATTTCCTTTCTCATCGGATGTAAGTTTATTTAATCAAAAGAAAAAATACAATATACATTATATACAATACTTATGTTCAATACATCTGCATGACGGATTAGAAAAATGATACTTCACGATGTGTCCTGTCAATGCAGAAAAAAAGTTTACATTCTAAATTCAGTCATTAAAAAAAGAAAATAATAGAAAATGAAATTATAACTACTCAAATTACATCTCAAACCTTTCCAGCACTATTTACATAAAAATAATAATAAAAACTATCCAGATTGTTATCTTGAAAATTCAGTGCTAAAATTTAACTTAGTCTCTGAACATTTAAATAATCGTATATTTGTCATCTGGGGTTAAAAAAATAGAGATTAAACAGTCTGTGTGAAAATCCTCACAACACGGAAAACATAGAGAGCACCTTGTGTCACTTTTCCTCTTCTCTCGGACGACAATTTCGTCAGGCCTCCTGGATTCATCCAAAATTGAAAATTCAGTGGTCTCATCAGTGCTGAGAGTTTCTGAGATTTTTACAGTTGACGTATGTGACAGCTTCGCCATTCACGACTCGAACATAACGAGAACAGGCTTGGAGGAAAATTGCAGGGACACGTTGGTCTGGAAGAGAGGCAAATAATGAACGAAATTATCATTCATGTGTTTTTACTGATCATTCAATTGATAACTCTCAAAATTACACTGAGAGAAAAAATTATGTGCCGCTGAAGAGATCTTTTGTCATGTTGACTCAATTTACTTGTGGACAAAAAAGAAAGTTTCCACCAAAACATGATAATTTTTGTTGAGAAATTGTTCTCGTGAAACATTTACATGTCTTTCGGGTAAATACATTCGTTCTACAGAGAATTATGAGACTACGCTTTTATCAAGTGAATGTTACTGAGTAGTGTATATCTGTGTCCAATAAACACTGTCCAATAAATTCCATGGAACAAATGATAATTTCAAGAGAAAACTACAATTTTCAAAACTAAATCATTTCGAGAGGACAATTTTTTTTTAGGAAAAAAATATTCTTTCTTCGTCAATGTATTCTCTCTGTGGTATAAACCTATGGAATTCTCTCAGATCAAATGATTGTCGTACAATAGATTATATTTTTTTCTGCCAACAGTTCGAATTCTTCTAGGAATTTTTCTGATGATCACGACAAAAATTAAATTTTGGTGAAAGATATTAACTTTCTTTCTATCAAGTGGATTAATTTCCCTCAAGTAAATCTGCTCCACTCCATCAAATATTCTCCCGCGGAACACAGTTTTTCGGCAGAACTTTTTCTATCATTGTACGGATGTCTTAAATTGAAGAAGAAATTCATAGAAAAAATGACAGTTTGCGGAGAATTTTGGGCCGCAATTTCTTCTAAACTTATTGGAAATTTCATCAGTGATGAAAAAACAACAGGGAATACTACAAATCGAACATTGTCGTCTCGAATTTATTCTTCTTCGACTCACATCATGCGTTCCGCATGCCTCAAATAAATAAACATTCATGCATGCAACAACAGTTGTTACAAAATAAGATTATTCAGCTCTCTATATGCATGAAAAAAATAATAATAAGAAATCCAGGCAGATTAGTACTGTTAGGTCACACACTCACATGCCTTCTCATCTGTATCCTCGTCGTTCGTGTGACAGGCGTCTTGTTGCATGTATGAGGCAGGCTTTAGAGGTCTTCCATCTTGATCCTCAACCTGCACCAGAATGCCGTGATTATTGTTGCTGGTTGAGTGAGTCCCTCTCGATGGTTGTCGCCAGAATCTCAAGGCCTGTCTCACGTCCAACGCTAGGTGACCACCTGCAGGTGTCAGGGGAGTCACCACTGAGTCCATCAAACGTTTTTTGGCTGTAGGAGAGAAAAATCGTCAACACATTTCAGCTCTTAATTATTTTTTAAGAATATCTTCGAATTTGAGGGAGATAGCGGAATTTTTCTCATAACCTTTTTAATAGCTCTCAAACCGCTCTACAAAAAAGTTTATGACAAAAATTTTGCTATCTGCCTCCGATTCCGAGATATTCACTGAAAACTAACCAATAGTCAAAATCGATTGAAAATACAAGATGGTTGACAGGTGTGGGTGCCGCCATTTTGCTTGGATTCACCCTTCCTTTGCTCCAAGGGGCTTCAAAGATGGCGGCACTCACACCTCGTGTTTTCAAACATTTTTTAAAATTATTCATCCTATTCAAATCACCCTCAACTCTCTTCATCCGATTTTTATAAAATGAACAAATTTTTTAAGCCATCTTTCAGATTTTTCCATCCCCCCTCGGCTGAGAATTCACGCCGCAAAGCTATACCCGTATTTCAGTACTGATCTCCAATATTTCAGTTCAGGTCTTCAGAATATAAAATCAATGCAGACAATACTCACATCTGTGCTTCTTCAGAGACTTCGTATAATAATAAACGGATATTCGAATTTTCTTCTCCTCCTCCTCTTCGTCGTCCACCGCAGAAACACTAGAACTGGGGACCGTTGGATTCATCTGAGGAAGCTTGTAGATTCGCAATCTAGCGGCTACAATGTGATCGCTTGACGTCAAATTCATTTTGAAATTCATGTTCATGGAGAAGGGATCGGACCAAGTTTCTGGGTCTGTATTTTTCGGTATTTCACCTGCAAAACGAGTCGATATGATCATCGAGTCATAATCGTTCGGTATGAATGCGTGTCTTGAATAGGGCTTACACGTTGGAGAAAACATTGTCAATTTCTCTCGTTGGACTTGATTGCTGTTGGTGGTGAGGTTGAATCGCCCGGTCATCGCTAGAACCCTCATTTTTATCTCTTCGATAGCATTTTGTGCTTGACTGGAAAATAGAAAAAATTCATAAGAAATAAAGTTAACAAATCTATCACAGTTAATTGAGAATGCACAATAGATCAAACATAAATTCAAACTGCATTCATACTATTAAAATAAAAAATCTATATTAATAAACGAAAACACAACAATTAAAACGTGTTTGATTAGTTTTTCGGGCTGGGGCTGTTGATTCTGAGGCATCATGAGTTATACAGCATCTGACGCTACCGCTAGGGGCGCTGCACCACCCCCCGACAGCTAATTCAAATGGATTGAAACATTCAGAATAGAACAATTCAAAATTAAACAAAATGATCTTTCATAAATTGCCAAAAAATCACAAGCCATTGAATGTTTATAGCTAGTTGCCGCTGGCACGAGTCACACGGAAACAACAATTAAAACGTGTTTGATTAGTTTTTCGGGCTGGGGCTGTTGATTCTGAGGCATCATGAGTTATACAGCATCTGACGCTACCGCTAGGGGCGCTGCACCACCCCCCGACAGCTAATTCAAATGGATTGAAACATTCAGAATAGAACAATTCAAAATTAAACAAAATGATCTTTCATAAATTGCCAAAAAATCACAAGCCATTGAATGTTTATAGCTAGTTGCCGCTGGCACGAGTCACACGGAAACAACAATTAAAACGTGTTTGATTAGTTTTTCGGGCTGGGGCTGTTGATTTTCATGCATCATGAGTTATAGAATACCTAACGCTTCCGCTAGGGGCGCTGCACTCACCCACAGTCAATCGAAATGGATCGAAACATTCAGAATAGAACAATTCAAAATTGAACAAAATAATCTTTCACAAATTCTCAGAAAAATCAGTTCTCAAAAATCAGAAGCCATTGAATGTTTATAACTAGTTGCCGCTGGCATGAGTCACACCGAAAACATAACAATTAAAGCGTTTTTGATTATTTTTTCGGGTTGGGGCTGTTGATTCCCCCACCACAAGTTACAGAGAGTCTGACGCTCCCGCTAGTGGCGTAGCACCACCCATCGACAGTCAACCCAAATGAATCGAAACATTCAGAATAGAACAATTCAAAATAGCACAAAATTATCTTTCACAAATTCTCAAAAAATCACAAACCATTGAATGTTTACAATTAGTTGCTGGCACGAGTCACACGGAAATACAACAATTAAAATGTGTTTAATTATTTTTTCGATCTGGGGCTGTTGATACTCAACCATCATGAGTTATAGAGCGTCTGACGCTCCCGCTAGGGGCGCTGTACCCACTCAGTCAATTCAAATGGATCGAAACATTCAGAATAGAACAATTCAAAATTGAACAAACTAATCTTTCACAAATTCTCAAAAAATCAGTTCTCAAAAATCACAAACCATTGAATGTTTTTAACTAGTTGCCGCTGGTGCGAGCCATACCGAGGAGTTGATAAAAAAAATGTTGTGGGAATGAGTGAATGGTCAGTGACCCAGACAGACCACATGGCCACATAGGCATATATTATTATGATCTAGACACCGGCTAGACAGGGAGAGGAAAACCTGAAGACATACAGCCGATTCCCGCGGAACGCATGACAGATACATTTGAATTCTTCGTCCTCTCTCATTCCCACTGACGTATCACAAGTATCTCTTGCAGGCGGGTACGTATTTACACGTATCTTCACCTCCTTCACCTGGGGGCACTTTCCCGAGTCTCATTCGAGGCGATAGCTGGTGGGGAAATTTATTATTCACTCTTGTGATTGTCTGGGCGGATAGGGAATTTACTCAATTACCTCAGGATCATTACTCAATTCCTCAGGAATTCTTTGGATTATTTTTTTGTTGTCTAGGTTGAAGAAGATTATTTGAAGAAAATATTTATTTGCATTTTATTAAAATGACAATAAAATCAAATGTCGATGATTAGCCTTAGCGGTCTTGAGCAATTTTAAGGAGTCGTGAAATGAAGAAATTGAAGAAATTCTATTTGATAAACCCTTTTTTTTAACGTTTTGCCTTCCACGGAAGACAAAACCTCGGAATACAAAAAAATTAGTTGAAGAAATATTTTCCAAATCTAAATAAATTAATGAAAAACAATTGGGAAATTGCTCTTGTATTCCATATAGTATAGTTATTTTTGGTAATAAATTACCAATATACTTTCGAATGGTTATTCTGCACATCATTTCCTTCTATCATGTATAATTCACTATTTATTTCGTTTTATTAAATTGAATAAGATTTCTTTTCAACTAATTCTGTCAGATTTTCAAATTAGTTGAATGTTATCATCATCATCATTATTCTTATTATCCCTTTCTTCTATACTACTGATTGGCTTTTTAAATGTTAATAGAAAAATTTTATTTATACATACTTGAATGAATTGGAAACATCACATTTGAAGAAATCATCATAAAAATTATATCAACCACTATAGCTGTCATAATCATCTTTTAATTTCGACTTAATGGCATTAAAACAAACATTTTAAGCTATGATTGAATTAATTTAAAGCATGATGTTCAAAGATATCCTCGGAATTCTGATTTTTAAAACATACAAAATTTTTGCAGATTTTCAAATAAATCAAAATAACGATTATTGCTATCGCCTTCATCTTCGAACTCGGTCAAAAGGACATCCAAACAAATTTTTAATCCATCATTCAATCAATTTTTTTAGTTATCGTGGGACTACCGATTTTCGAAAAAAATCGAAAGTTAAAAAACGAATCGATGAATTAAATTTTAATTAATGGCGGCCGATAGGGCTGAACAAAAAATTGCATTGAATTTGAACAATTACAAAGCTTCCGTTCGGAAGCAAAAAATTGATGCCGATAAATACAAATTAATCTGGAGGACATCGAAGTAAATCAATTTGAAACAAGTTTCAGATTATGCGCGTGGATTACATGTGTCTAATTACAATAATTGCCTGAACAATTAAAATCATAATCCAAATTCAACTAACAAAGCTACCGAGGCGTAAAAAAACACCTTTCTTGATTTAATTTTTTTATTTTTAAGGATGACTTTTTTGTTTTTAGCCAGTGTTCGTAAATTGTCAGTAAATGTGGTTTTTTTATGGTCAAGGAAAATTCTGTAATTTTTTCGGCCGACAGCAGAACATATAAAACTAACTTTTCTAACGTTAAAAAAAAATTAATCGCAATAGTCTCGGCAGAAATGAACAAACTCATTTTTCTTATACACAGGCTCTTATGAAATTTATGTTCCAATTTATAATTCACCTACTAGAAGACTCAAAAAATAGAAATAAAAATAGAAGGTAATGTGTAAAATCATGCTGAATCCAATGGCCAGAGAAAAATCTGGGGTACCCGGGCAAAAGGAGGAAATATTTGAATGACTCTATTCCATGTAAGCGCATGTTAGCGCATGCATTTGGTGCATTTTGTCTATTTCATATCTAAATAATGAACATGATAGGTTGGTGGATTGAAATTTGTATCAAAGTGAAGGGAATATCTTCATCTCTCAATTTTAAAAAAACATTTTTTTAAGTACTTGCGATTCTGGACAAACATCCTTAATAGTTGACTAAAAACAGAATAAACAGTTTGTAATGTTGACACAGTCAAAATGTGTATGTGCAACCAGACATGTTTTATTGACATGCTTTAATTTATTGATTTCTCCAAAAGGAAAATAAAATCATTTTTTAAAAATCATTTCGTTAAAACGAAGTGAAAGAAAACAAAGTAAATGTTTTATTTAATTCCTTCAGTTTGATTATTATTATCAAAATTGAGGGAATTGTTGGTGTGAGATATGTTCATTCGAATGAACAAATTATATCAATTAATGGGGAAAATGCTAAAGGCCACGTACGGAGATCAACAAGAATGTTGCCAGTGAAATCATGACATTTGATTCCCCATCCCCGCACGCTCGTCGATCTAGTAACAACTGGCCATTTCTTCACCGCATCCATGTGTCATGTATACATGTGGTTTTTAATGTGTACGTGACCCGTCTGGACCCCGTCTGGAGAAGAAGACGGGTGACTGGGTGCGAGCCCACCCGTTGTCTCACTCTGGGGGACACGGAATGTTTTACCAGGCTTGTCAGAAAAAATAATTTTTTTTCTTTCCTTCGGTCTTGTGGAGGTTTGAAAATCGTCTCGACGGAGGCGTTGACCTAGATTTCGGTATTTGTAGGGAAATAACATCGGAAATCTGAGAAATAGATGAAGGAATGAATTCCAGAATTGAATTTTTTAAAATTAAAACTAACGAAGAAAATTTTAAAAAAGGGAAAATTTAATCGAAACATCAAACAATTGTGAAGGTGACATCCCAAAAATTGGAGAAAATTCGATTGAAAAAAATGTTTTACCACAAAAAATTGAAGCACTGAAAATCTTTTAAAAATCAACTCTTGAAAAACTGAAATTAACTTTTACCTCCGTTCCCTCACCAACTTCAATCTCACAGTGGAAAAAAAAATTTCCCATTAATTTTTTCAATTTATTTCTCCTAACAAATCGTTCTGCATACCTGCCCACCCAACAAAAAAATAAACATTCCGCAGGAGGTAATGGTCGAACATTTTTTTACAGCCGTAATTCTCATTATTTTTATTCACAAATAAAAAAAATAATCTCCCCGCACGTTGTCTGCATACACCTGTTCACTTTTTCACCCCCTCAACCCCAATTACTCCGGCATTACCTGCATCTCCCTCCGCCCAGTGAATACTAACTGAGATGCAAGTGCCTAGACAAGGTCAGGGCATTAAAATTCGCTCCAACATTGCATAACAACCAGAAGAATTCTCCACTCATGAGAATCATAAATCGTGCCCCCTAATTACACCCGGCATAGACACCCAGTCATTAACTCGCCCCCAGCCCCCCCACCCCTCGCCCAAAAAACGGTAAAAATTCTATTTTTAAAATCCGCTGATGCATCTTCTCGAAATGAGAACAAATTGCCCAAAAAAAAACAAATAAAAATCGAGCCAAAAAAAATTTAAATTGCAGGAGAAATTTCGCCCCCTAATTTCTTCAACTTCCGACCGTAAAAAAATCATTGTAAATGATTATTCAAATGAGAGCGAAAAATTATTTCGGCATTTTCAGTTTAATTGACACCAACAGATACTTTTTTTTATTATTTAAATTAGCCTCACCTGGAAT